TTGTGTGGTCGCAGTCTCCTTTCGTTGTATAGAGGTTGCTTGACCTTGTTTTCGCAACTTGGTCATATTGTAGGAAGACTTAGTGGAACTCACCTAGCCCGGAGTCCATTGTATGCATAATCATTTCCAAATTCAGACCGTGAATGTGGTACATTCCCACACGCTTTGCCGGCTTTGTAATCGGCATCGTCAGTTAGTCTCGCCATTCTTAGCACCACACTACAACTCGTCAAAAAGACCAGTGAAGCCTATCCTTTGACCAAACGTGTGCTAAACAGTTGTGGTATCTCTCCTATATTCTCCTATCACGCCTTCATTGTTACAATTTTTACCGTGCTTATTTCGATGTAGTGTGATGTTCTCCTTTGAGTGGCATCCATGAAAACCCATGAAGGGCAGAAGGGGGATACCACAACTATTTAGCACACGTTTGGTCAAAGGATCGGCTTTACTTGTCTTTTTGGCGAGTTGTTGTGTGGTGTTAAGAATGGCGAGACTTACTGACGATGCCGGCGAAACGTCTTGGAATGTAGCACGTCCACGATCCGACTTTTGCCATAATCATGCATATAATGGACTCCGGACTAAGTGCGTTCCTTTAAGTCTTCCTGCCAATATGACCAAGTTGCGAAAACAAAGTCAAACAACCTCCATTTGATCGATTGCATATTTACTAGGCTTTGTAATATTAAATGAGCCATGGAATATTCCTCGATAAAAAAGAAAATATAATTGAATAGTATCACTTAATTAATATTTAATTAGAATGTTTTACACTTTCCGAAAGCCATTCTTTAGGCATATTACTTCTCTCGATTGTGTTTAGCTGGGATAAGTGTTTACGGGCATATATGATTAAAGTTGGTTATTATTTAAAAACCAATAATTCGCTGAAATAGGCTAACAAATATATGTACGTGCATTTTTATTTATAGTTGAGATTAAATTGATGAATCATTTAATCTAACTAAAAATTGGATTTGTTGATATTACGTGAGTTTTGGGGGTAACCGTTAGATCTACTCATATTATAGCTAGAAAATTTATCCACCACTCACCATTCACCACCCTATGCAGCCTATCGTGACTATATTTCTTATTTAAAATAGGATTATTCTAGTCGGATTCAGCTATGAATTCTTCGGATCTTCAATCAGATTCAACTGCTCTGTTCTATTATCAAAACTAGCATTTCGCTTATGGGTAGTATGTTTTACTTTTTAGGTTTACTGTTTGCGTTTTAATCTGTCCATTTTGGACGACTATTCAATCCTTATTTATAGAGAAAATCAAGTCAAATTCATAGTGAACACTGAGGGCCATGCTGTATTGAGAAAAATAAAACTACCTTCATATAGGGATACTAGCTTTTCAAGCAATGAACTATTGCAGCTCACAAACGTGTATAGCATATTCTCTACATTCGATGGACATTTATTTCCCGAAACCTGTGATTTGCTAGATTTATAGAGACACATTTTGCTTTTGGGCAAGATGGCTATTGCAATATCGATCCTACGTAAACCTTTACTTAATGCTTATATAAATCAAAAGTTTAATGATTTACTTATATTATTGACTACAATTACAACCTACTCGTAGTGAAAAGAATAAGTTTATTTGTATCATAAAAACACACATACGCATATTCATATCTAATCACTAGCAATGACATAATCAGACATTAAACATGAGTAATGAGAAATTTAACGCATAAAGTTGTAGCAAATCAGATTTTTCCGTTTGCTTGTACAATAATCGAATGCATATTTAGTATTCCTGATATTTTATTCATTTTCAGAAAGTTTAAGGTATGTTTAACCTCAACAAGAATCTTAAATATATTTTTTATTTTGAGATTTGGTTTCATGTGATCAAGTGCCTGATTTAGACATTCCTCTAGTTTTGCCTTTATTCGCCCAGATTACAATCTTGATTGCACTGAATCTTATACACCTTGGAGAAATCGCTTAATAGAATGGGTTTTAAAGGGGCTGAGGTCATGCAAACTCCTAACCATGATATCTGATATTTCAAATTATTATATGAATTAGCAGTCTATTAAGATATTAATTAATTAAGTATGAGTATCCAATTCTTTTTAAAGTCTTCATTCTCCTTTCCTTTAAATGCTGTCCTAGGATCATTCGGTTTACACTAAATGAACTCCTACCGAGACAGCCAGTCTTCTTCTAAACATATAAGAGTTTAAGTTATAGTTAATGAGTCTTTAGGTCAGCAGATGTTTACTATTAAAAAGTAGCAGAACGAAGTGACTTTCAAAGAGTTCGTAGCTTGGTGCGGAGAATGGCAAAGTTTACTAATGAAGCCAACTACGATGTCGGCGAAACGTTTGAGAATGTATCAAGTCCACTGTCAGATGATGGGAATAATGACAACTACTATGACAGACGAATTCGGACTAGGTGTGTTCTACATAGTATCCCTGACAACAAGACCAAGTTGCGACAACGAGGTCAACCCACTTGCCTTAGTTATTTTTAATAAATTCTAGCGGGGCTGTATGAAATGGGTTCAATATTCTATATCTAATAGATTTTCATGTTTAAATCATCTTTTGGTTTGAGAACTTCTTC